TATGACTAATCCCTCTCTTAAAATGATCATCCTACATGTTTAGCTACAATAAGTAGCTTTAACTTCAACTATATTGTGGCTAAACATGTGGGACAGTTTTCTTTATGTGTGCATCTGGGCCAAATGAAGAGATGGGAGCTGCGGATGGATTATGTATCTGTGTTTAGGCAGTTTTTAAATGCAGTTTTATGCACACAGAATGACTATTTGGATAAAAATACACTTAGTCTTCCCGGCTTGGTTTGCTAGGGATCTTTCGGAGTGCAGGGGGCGATCCTAAACACCTTCTATGACTCTGTTGTGGCATCAGCCCTCTTCTATGGAGCTGTCTGCTGGAGCAGTGGCTTAACTGTAGCTGAAAGAAAGTGGCTGGATAAACTGATCAGGAAGGCCAGCTCTGTGATTGGATGCTCTCTGGATTCAGTGCAGGAGGTGGGAAACAAAAAGATCCTAAAATTAACATCTCTGTTGGATAATGTTTCCCACCCCATGCATGAAGTTGTTGTAAAACAGTAGAGCTCCTTCAGTGACAAATTGCTGCACCCTAAATGCACCAGAGAACGTTATCACAGATCCTTCCTCCCAGAAGCTGCAAGACTCTATACCCACTGTTCCCAACAACATCAATAAGTTGTTACATTCAGGCTGATTTTGACGATTAGATATTATGCTGCTGTCATTTTGCACATCTCTGATGTTGCTGCTATTTTCAAATATCCACTACTGTAAAAATGTTCATAGATGTATATTGGTTATTTATTCTCCAGGTGCACAGTATTTATATCACTATAACGCTTAACAGTACAGTATTTTATTGTTTATCTTTTAACTCTTCTCTATTATGTTATTCTTATACATTTTTTCTAAGGTCCACATTTGTACAGTATGACAATTTTTTCTAATATCTTTTTGCTACTGTAAGCACCAGAATTTCTCCCTTTATTATGGGACAATAAATTGATTTTCTGTTCTATTCTGCTATCAAGCAGCCTTCATGAGATGTTCAGGCAACCAGAGTATTTTCGTATCTATTTTCCAATGTCATGACAGTAAACTGTGGCTCAATCAAAAACAATACACTTTTGCACAAGACTGAAAAATGAAGCGAAATGACATCCAAAATATGATGGAAAATATTTTTTTTAATGATTATTATGAATGGAATTAACTAAAAAATATTATGAACATAAAAGCTTGCAAAAAAGATGGCAAAAAAGCCCATCACCTGATTCAGGAATTTGGTGCCCCCTGAAACACAATGATATTGCAGCAGTTTGTTAAGTGTCCTTGTCTCTACCACAGTCCCCAGAGGGTCCAGCTTCTTGCCAATCACAGAGCCGGCTCGCCTCACCAGTTTGTCCAGTCTGGATGTGTCCTTCATGGATGTGCTGCTCGCCCAGCACACCACAGTGTAGAAGAGGATACTGGCAACCAACGACTGGTAGAACATCTCAAAGAAAGTACTTCCTGCTCGTGTCTTCCTGTGCAGGTCGTTGGTGTGTGTTGACCAGTCCAGTTTACTGCTGGAGTTTCTTTTTCTTAGTGTTGCATTGTAGTGACCCAATACCGATACCTGGCTGTGGAGTATTGGCCGATACCTTACCGATACCATCTGCTTGGAATTGATGTGTGTGTGTATATATGAAGAACTGCATACCACTTGGATGTAAAATAATTGCCATCATGGCTTTGTCAAGCTGCTTGCCTACCTTTGGGAAGCAGGAAAAATACTAATACAAAGTAAATCCAGTAGAACTTTTTATTGCCTATCTGGAATGGGTGACAGTAGTTGAATAAACTGTTGGCTCTCAAAATGGTATCGATACCTATCTGTTGTTACATGGCAATACCAATGCCACCATTTTAGTGCTGGATATGGGCCCCGCCCGATACTGGTATCAGTATTGGTGCAACACTGCTTTTTATATTTGAAATATAAAGTAGAACATATTTCTTCTTCTTCTTGTGCCTCCCTCAGTCAAGGGCCCTTAGAATATTCCTAATTTTTCCTTCCCATACGGCACCACTGGTTAGGACATCAACAATAGAATTTTTGTAGTTAATGCCCAGGGTGAGACATTTAAAGAGCTTTCTAAGCCTTTTAAATCAGAAACCCCCCCTACCTTAAAGGCTTTGTTAAATCAGCTGCCATCAGGTCCAAGTAACCTTAACCTGCAAGCTGACCTCGAGATAATAAAAGAGGCCTCCAAAAACCCTAGAAAGGGAACACATGCAGGACAGACAGCAAACTCTTACAGCTGTTGATTTTAAAGTGCCTACATTTCAAACAATGACGGACAGACTAGATGTTAGGGTTGTGGTGCACTTAGATGTAAACCACGGTGATTGTATTTTTGTCTAACAAGAAAAAATATATATATATTTCTGATGTTTTAAATCATATATAAATATTTAATAAAAATATGTTAACATTCATTTTAAAAGAGGATTTCACACAAACCTTATAGATGAGATGGAATTATATAAAACATACTGTCTGTCAGTTACAAATACTTAGTTTCATATGAGGGTAGAGATATATTCAGTAAGTTTCAACCATTCACATCAGACTGGGGGATAATTAGATAGAATAGGGATTCATTTATATGATTATTGGCAGGTTTATTCACACATTAACTACTTGTTTTAAGTACATTCATATTATTCAGATTATTTTCACATCTATAGTTTTCACACTTCATACAATTTTCTTTATTTTTCACATAATTGTAAACAATTATCTGTGTTAAATGATGTTGGTTTTTTTAATTCATGAAAAGATCTTGCCTACCTAACTATTGCCGTAGGTACTGAACTGATAAAGCGAGATAAGTGTAATAACCATACTGATAATGGTCACGGCTGAAATTATTCTCTGGTGCTGGTATCAGAACATCTTTCTAATGATCCTTTATCATCTCGGCATAAAGAAGCATATGATAATGAGGTTATTCTTTTTTTTTTGTTTAAAGGGAAAAAACAATGGAGCATAGAACACTATAGACATATAAAATTGGAACGCTATGCCTAATTTGATAACAGAATTAAGCGAAAGAGAATAGAAGTGGTCGATAACAGTACTATCTGTCAGGATTTAGTAAAGGACTGTGGGCTACAGGAAACTAAATCTACTTGGAGGAAGGGGATGTATGACCTGTGACCACCTAAATACAAAAGGATCCAGGGTGTCTCAGTAAAATCCTGGCCTTGGCATTGCCCTGCCTCCCCTAACCCACCTTTAATTTATAAGGCTTTTTGTTGCAACTTGTTTACCAGTAATAAACAACTTCTTTCTTTACTCCATAGTCCACTTCTTGCAGTCATTGTTGGCACTTTCAGAAGTGGATGGGTACGAACGTGGACTCCCTGAAACTGCACGGTCTATCTGAAACAATGATATCTTCTTGGATCAAACCACAGTGTCCAGCTTTCACACTTCTTCTGCACCACTGTTCCATCCTCCCCCCTTGAGCATTTCTTTATTAAGATATTTTCATTTCTAGCAAAGATCACATTTACATTGAAACACTCAACTATTCTTGCCTTCTCTAAGCTTCAGCTTTACATTATAGTTAGTCTATCTCTTCGGTTTGAATTCAGACCTCGGGATGACACAACCTCCAGCGGAACAAGCGCAGCAGGTCAGATTCTAGCTTCCTGTTCCACTGGTTTTCTTACTACCTGAAAACCAGTCAGAATTTTTTTTTCAGTTGAAACATGTAAGACCCTTATTGGTTTACTGAAACCAAAATAAGAACAATTTTTCTTATTACTGCAACTTACAGCATATTACTATACAAACAGCCATATCATATAACGACTTTGCTAATTAAACTTCAATTTTTCAAGTGTAAAAATCAAACTGAAGGTCAGAAATTCTCCTCTATCCATCCATCCATCCATCCATCCATCCATCCATCCATCCATCCATCCATCCATCCATCCATCCATCCATCCATCCATCCATCCATCCATCCATCCATCCATCATGCTTCATCCTGTGACCAAGCAGGGCAGGGCAACGCGGAGACAAGCAGGGAAGAAATGATCATATACTAAAATGTAACCCTTTGTTCGCTTCATGCTTAAATGATCCTGATCCTTAAATGCACCCTGTTACCACTTAACCCCTGATCTTGGACCATTTTTAGTAGGCCTTCCTACCAATGTGGACCAGATACATTACAGTAAAGCAATAGCTACGGTTATGTTTGAATTAAGTCTTATAGCCAGAAATATTTTGTTGTTGTCACACCTTCTTTCTCAAATCCCCAGATTTGTTGAATATTTCTGCTTCTAACAATCTGCAGGGAAATATGTTAACTTAGCAAATACTTCCAAACTGCACTGACCAATGCCACGATGAGTAGTTGTAATGTTTAGACCGGCACACAGATCAAAAGAAACATAAAATTGATACCTTGATTCATTTAAACAATCCTGAGACATCACAGAGTAAATAATGAATTAAATTATCTTTTTTTCAAAGACTGTTAGTTTCAAAAATTCTCCTCCTGACGAATATCAGTGGCATTCAGAACTTTGTAAACAGCTTAATTTCCCTAATTTCTTGTCTTTATCTTTTTGACTCACTGAAAAAAAATACTAACAAATGTAAAGAGTTACCTCCATTCATTTGTTGCTGATTAAATATGTAACCAATCAAAACTATATGAATAAATAACCATTAACAATTAAAATAAACTTTTTCTCCCTTTCATTTTGCAGTTAATAAGATGCATCTTTCATTTTTAGCAGGCTAATATGTTAGATGTTTAATTACACAGCAGTGGGGGGGGAAAAATTGTAGTCACCCACAATTAACTTTTCTTTCCTTTAGTTATGATAAACGGCATCTGATTGGCTGCCAGCTGAGAAGCTGTGCTGCGGTTGGCTGAGAGCGGAGGAGCTGTGTTGCGATTGGTTGCTTCTTGTTTCCGTGGCTGGGATGTGAAGTCCCTGACGTTTGTCGGTCTGCTCTGAGACAGACTGGGGGGAGAATGGCTGCCAGTGGAGGTTAGCAAAGTCTTTATTGTTTTCTTCTCTAACCACATTGGAATGGTGCTTTTTAAAAGTTAGCATGTGTGTTTAACAGCTTACGGAGTAGGACCCGTTGTGCAATTGATAGATCGTGACATGTTGTGTGCTCGTTAGCGGAAGTCACGCTTCTTTAGGATACTCTTTAATAGTTGTTTGTCGTTTGCTACGTTGCTAACGTTAGCCGTGTGGCTAACTTTCGGCCGCCGGTTAGCTCGCTACCCACAGCTGATTGTGTAAACACTTGTTTGTGACTACAGACAGACATTAGTCAGGCTCCATTCGTCAATTTTAACATCAATTTCATTCGGTTTGCATCTTTTAATGCAGTTTTATACATTTTATGGTAAATATATAGTTAGCAAATATACTTTTTGCCCCTCATAGCTCGCAATTTTGTGTCAAAGAATGCTTGCTAGCATTAGCTTTCTGCATACGTGTTGCTAAAAGTTAAACTCGCACGTCCAGCAGTTTAATTCGCAGATTAACCGATATTTTATGTTGAAAACAAAGCGCTTCCTCTTGCCGTTTTTATATATTTCACCGTCTTAGATGTTGTCTCTACTCTTTGGATGGAATAAAATAGCCCGAGCAGACGTCGGGCATTCAAGATGCTAACAAGTTAGCTACCACCTGGCGAGACAGTAGTTTCTATTCATCCACTGCCAGCCTTTTGTCCTGTCAAGGAGTTGGTGTTGCTCAACACGAGGTTTGTGGTGGAAAAAGTGTTTCTCTAAGTCTCGCTGAGTTGGCAAAGCCCTGGTAGCCGTCTGAGCCTCTCACACAGCCCTTACACATGTAATAATAGACATGTTGTAATTTGAAGTTTCTATTTTAGGGTAACACCACAAAATTACCTTGTTATGAGCTCGTATTTCAACAACATGTCCTGATTTGGTTCTTGTTCCAAAGTTAGAAATAAACCTGAAACTTGCTTTGATCCTTCACCAATTAACTTTTAGTCCATTGACATTAAAGCCTTTTAATTTAATAGTAACATTTACTTTAGGATTGAGTTCTAAAATTAAAGATGAAACCCAGAAAAATGTTTTTAATGTTGAAAATATTCAGCTTTAAGTATCCCCTCCAATTAGAGCTGGGCGATATGAAGAAAACCTAATATTGTATATTTGGGCTAAATTCGCGATACACTTTGTTTATATATCATGAAGTGTTTAAATTACATTAAAAACAATAGAGTGCATGAAATTGTATACTCATTGAAACTGACATGCAAATATTTTGGTTTCGGTTTTAAAATAATTAATTCTAACCAGCTCAAAGTGGGGTGTCATTATTATATGTTCACACCGCACGTAATCTCAGCAGCAAAAAAGCACCTGCTGCTTCATTTTTTATGCTTGTACACATTAAGGTCAGAAGCACCTGAAGAGCATTTTTGATGCTCCTTAAGGGCGTCCAGTAAAGTGTGTGCAGATGTGTCAAGATGCTGCAGGACCTTTTCATGTGTCAATCATCTATTTTATTTATTTTTTTGTCTGATTTGACAGAAAATCACGTCGGACAAGTCGTGGAGTTTAGCGCTCATTGAAAGACAATGGGGATGATCACACCCGATGTGATTTTATGCAACGGGGCTTGTGTAGCTCCCACTGAGATTGACCCCCAGGTCTATCTTACCGGTATTTGGAAGAGAGACTCGGTTACAAAGTGAGACACGTCCACTTTGGAGGGAAAATACGAAATAAAATCTGTTAATTACACTGGAAAAAGAGTCAGTTTTGGGAGTCGCACATCGTGTATATTACAAGTGGGACAGACTCATGCAAAAACAATGAATGAAAGAAGGGAAAAAAAATACTTTACCCACGATAGGGGTTCAGGAGGACAGAAAACAGATAAAGTAGTGGGGGGCAGAAAGCACAGTTTATCAAACTTCTCAGGTGGGGGAAAAAAAACTTAGGCTTAGAAAAAAACGGAATTGTAAAGTAGTGATCCTCTTTGAGCCTACCAAAAAATGAGGGGCCGACAGAGCAGGTTAGCACGGAGCATCTCTCACCTCTTTATGAAAAAAAATGACAGAAAAATGTATAAACTTCACAGATCTCTTTCTAAGAATCAGCTTTCACTGCCTCGGTCAGCATATAACCTGATCCATAGCATTTATTGCTGTGATTTTCTTTTCTTTAGACACAGGTCTCATGTTTAATATTGGCATATGAACATTATCTAATCTGGCTGAGATACTTCAGACTCTCTTTGCTTTATAGAATGTGCCTGTTTTTTTTATTTTATTTTTTCATAATTTATCCAAGTCAAATATGGAAAATTGTTTTGATTTATGTATAGCACAGAGACGGAAGTGAAAAAAATCTGAGCAGATCTACCCACCCTGCCTAGTCGGTGCCTCTCTATATGCAGTCAGTGTGACATGGAGAAATATCGGATCAGAGATAGAAAATTCGTACCCAAACAGTGTGTTCTGTGCTTAACTCAGCTGCTTCTGCTGCCCAAAGCGTGTTGGGTGTCAACGTAGCCTTAGTTATTTAACAAGATCCCAGCAACTAATCGGGAAACAAAGCAAAAACACACAATACTAAATAGAAAGTAAATTAAAAAGGGCTCTTTGATGCATTGACCTTAAATTACAAAAACAAAGTACTGTCCAAAAATTAGAGCATTATCTGAGCATCTCAAAACTATTTAATTGATTTTTTATGTCCTGGGAATTTTAAAGAAGCATAAATTTGGTAAATTTCAGAAAACTGTCCAGTTTAGAAAATGGCTGCATAACCTAAGAACAAGACCACATCAAATCACAGGTATTGGGGCATCAAAAAAACCTTCCAGTAACGATTGCTCTTTGTGTTTGATTGGAAACACCAAACAGTGTGGTGCAATGTAAAGTCAGGGAAAGATACGGCTCATAGGTGCGGCTTGCCAACAGATCCGTAGTTATTGAGAAGGTCACGTTGGTCAGCTCCTGGGATATATTTCCTCCTATTGAAAGATACAGTTCTGGTAATGCATATTCTAGGAAAAAATTGCGACTGGGCCTGTCGTATTTGGGATCACGTGTCTTTATTAGGTTTTTGAATCTGTTTTTTCCACAACACCGACAGGATCCATGTCTTTGGTGATATATTGTTACTACATCTGGGATTTCCCTCCCATCTATACCTTTTTTTTTTGTTGTGAAGTCAAGTTTAACCTGTGCTTTTATTGTGAAATAGAATTGGATTGTTAGGGGTAATGGAAAGTCTGGAAGGCTGGTGAGTTACTAAATATTAAACAATAGTTCCAGCCACTAAATAAGGTACTCACTTGTTTAAATTGATGAAATACAATTTAATAAAACATGCGTCTTTAATTTCCACACTTTTCGACTATCTTCATTTGTATCAAACCAAAAATTTTTCTTAATGTCTAAACCTTCATTTCTTATTAGAAGAAACTGTTAGATACTTATTTTAGCTATCATGTTGATTTTCCTAACGGGTAGAGGAGAAACATATGTTATTCAGTTTCTCTATATATTTGGACATGAATCCGATCACTCCCAGAACTTAAGATCGATCTTTGGAACATGCAAAAAGAAAAAATCTAAGTAGTTTTAAAAACAATAGCTTTTAAAATCTTTGGTATACTTTGATATGTATGATACATCAACGAAAACATAAATGCTCAAACATACGATGTAACATTTTTAAGCGTTAGATGTGCTTTTGTTGAACAGAAATCACTTATGGTAAGGCTGAGGTATTTTAACAAATTATACTATTTCTGGACATGTAAATTCATTAAGCTTCTGTTTTAGGGTCATACATTGAATTCAGCTGTAATGCTTCACAAGGATTTTCTCTTGAAAATATGACCTAACTGGATGAGGTGGAGAAAAGAGATGATTATCAGCCTGTATTTCTTTTTTTCTTCTCAGAGGGTATTGAATTGTTGAGTGGCAGCTTCAAGCCCTTCATCTTTCATCTGGAAACCTAACCTAGAAAGGTTAAGTTCCCAACATAGTTTATCATGGTAAATCAGTTTTTTTGGGATTTTTTTTTTTTGCCACTGGAAATTCTAAACCCAGGCGGAAGTTATATTTGGCTAATATTAGCGTTTGTTTTTTTTCTTGCATCAGCTATGTGCATTAATTCACCGATTCATTAGTGCATTCAGCAGAAATGTCTCAAAATCCAAGAACAGCAATCTTTACCAATCTTTTGCAAAATCGATGTCTAGGGAATGAGATTGAATAGTTTTATAGTGACGCGCGTGATATTCACATTCAAATGAGCAGGAAAGATGCACTCAAGATTGCTTAAAGCCAGACAGTTATGCAGCCCATCGATGTCTGCTGTGTCACGTCTGCTTGCTCGAGTGAGGCTTCACTTTTTCACTTTTCACAAACAAGTTTGCACTTATGAGACAGTTTTGTTCACATCGCAAGTTTAAACTGTCTGATTTAGAAGTTTTCACTTTGTGTTTAATGTGACAGGAAAAAATAAAATGCATGAATATTTTGAAACAGTTGAACTACTTTTATTATTGTAAAAACTAATCGAATCCAAATTAATCGATTTAGAACTGTATGAATTAGGGCTGCAACAACGAATCGATAAAATCGATAAAAATCGACTTTTAAAAGCGTTGGCAACGAATTTAATCATCGATTAGTTGTGTCGCGCGATTAATGCGTCATCCGCCGCCGCCGTCATCCCGGGGAAGAAAAAAAAATATGGCGGAGCGAGTCAGCGCCGCAGTTGCAGTGTTGCCAACTCAGCGACTTTTCAGACCCCTCCAGCGACTATTTTTTTAAAAAGCGACTAGCGACAAATCTGGCGACTTTTTACGGTGTCACTGGCGGCTTTTGGAGACTCTTACGTGAAAGCATGTATCGTTCCTACTCTTGTCCTCCAGCGGCAGCTGCTGCCGTGGGGCGCCTCCCCCATCCCAACGCCTTTCTCCCTCTCCCACAAGAATCCCTCTCAGCGCTGCAGTCCGAGCCGCAGGATTTTAGTGAGGAGTTTACCCTCAGCGTCCAGACTGCAAATGAAGCGCGCATGCCCCGGGATTGACGGCGCAAATTGATCACAATAATTAAAATAGCCTTTGTAAAGTGAAAAAAGTCGTAACATGCAACTTTTGTAAAGACAAATAAACATGGCACGGAAGCACCACTGTTATGACGCAGCACCTGAAAAGAAAACATGTTGGAGCCTTCGATGGCAGTGAAGAGAGCTGATCAGCAGGATGAGTAACCATGTTTGTTTCATTTTAAAGTGGGGAAACGTAACGTTAGTTTCTCAGGTAGCTCATCTGATGCTTTCCTTACCTTGTTAGTAGGTTACAGACAGTGATAAGGTTGGCTACTTATTTTACTTTTAATTTCATTTGAATTAGCTTAAGCAGCGTTTATATTTTCTTTATAAATAAATTAACTTGCAAATTATGAGGGCAAGGCTTTTAAAGTTTAAATCTTCTGGCAAAGATAAAGTAAAGAAGATCCTGCAATTTATGGAAGTAAAGCAGAATAAAATCCAGCAAGATCAGTAATATGTCAATTAATTATCTGCCACATTCCCATGTAAATATCTGTCTTTGGAGGATGTGTTTTTTAGCACCCCTACTTCTCTCATTTTTATTCCAAATACAATTTATAATTTGAATCACAGGGCTATTTTTATCTCTATGGTTCAGTATTTTCTCAAGTAGCAACTTTAACTGCTATACTTTCCTGTCTTAAAAGGCAGAACTCTTCTAGTCTAAAAAAACCTCATTTGTTGAAATGGGGGGGGCCTATTGTTTGAACCCCTTAGGGGCTTTAAAAAACAAAAATGTCTCTTTTTGTGCTTTATGAAACAAAGTAGCCTATATTTTGTGGATGTACAGCTACATTTCTCATGTAAGTTTGCGTAGTTTTAAAACAAACATTTAATTTTTCATATAGCACCAGTACAGTTAATGAGCAACCTGTACTTGTGTGCTTGTTTGTTCTGTCTAAAATGTTTATTTTGGAATAAAGAGGTTAATATAAAAAAAATATTTTGTGTCCGATTCATCGATTAATCGAAAAAATAATCGGCCGATTCATCGATTTTCAAAATAATCGTTAGTTGCAGCCCTAGTATGAATCAAAATCGAATTGATTCAGGACTTTGGCGAAAATACCCAGCCCTACTGCACATACACTACAGCAACTGGAAAACGAAATATGACGACAGATCTGAGCAAGTGAATGAAGGAGGAGTCAGAAAAGCTGTTTCCAAAGAGAAACAACACTGGACCAATAATATGGCGGTGGTTTAGATTTCACGCCGATGACGTCGGACAAAAGGCGGTCATTTGTAAGATATGCCCCAAAACCATTGCAGCAAAAGGCAGCAGTACCTAAACAAGTCATCCACTGCAAAATTAAGAATATTGTAAAATCCGCATGTCAGCGTCTCCCTGCACACTAATTAAAACGTTAAATCAGCTGTGAAGCAGATGACGGCCTCGTCCTTTTGAGAAGCATATATATATACATGATTCTACCCAAGTATGTGGTGTTTACAATCAAACACATAAAGAGCAATTGTTGTTTAAATGTGCTTTAGATGCTCTTAATACATGTGATGTGGTCTTGTTCAGAGGTTTTTGCACATTTTCTAATCTTGGCAATTTTCTCAATTTTACAACTTTTTGTGCTCCTTTAAAATCCCCATCATTTAAAGATCAATGGAAATAGTTTGGAGATGCTCTGAATGCTCTAATTTTTGGACAGTATTTTGACATTTGTTTTCTTTTGTAATTTGAGTTAAAATTTTTCAATCTGCATTTTTTTTGTTATTATGCACAAAGGAGCCATTTTTATAATTTACATTTTATTTAGTATATTGCTTATTTTAGCATTGTTTCCTGTTTGGTTACTGGGATCTTGTTAAATACTAACTAGGTCTAATACTAACACGAAAGAAAAAACATAATGTGGCAGTATTATTTGTGGAAAGATTTGAGCTGGTAAAAATAATGTCTTAAATTTGAAACCAAAATATTCGATATGTCAGTTTGAATGAGTTTATCAGTGCAATTTAATGCACTCTATTGTTTCTGAAGGTAATTTAAACATATCGTGATGTATATCGTTTATTGTGATTAAAGCCAAATATATCATGGTATTACATTTTCCTGGTATCGCTCAGCCCTGATGCAAACCCCCTGATATGTTATGATGGTGGTTATTATTTGTGAAGATGAATTAATTTTTGCTTTTTGCGTCATTATTCAGAGGTAGGCAAGCTGTTACAAGTACAAAATGGGACGCCTCCATCCACCAACTACAACGGGGTAGATGCTGTGCACGCCTGCAACATCCTTCAACAGCTCAAAGCCCTGTACGATGAAGCACAACTGACAGATATTGTCGTAGAAGTTGACCACGGCAAGACTTTCTCCTGCCACCGGAATGTTCTTGCAGCCATCAGTCCATACTTTAGGTACAAAAAATTTTAACGCGTATATTAGTTTGCCGTCTTTCACTGCCTACCAAACCTCACTGTCATAAGGAAGAATTATCTCTTTCGTGTTTCTTGTCACCCTTAGGTCCATGTTCACCAGCGGCCTTACGGAGAGCAGCCAGCGTGAGGTCAGAATTGTGGGTGTGGAGTCCGAATCCATGCACCTCGTCCTTGACTATGCCTACACCTCCAGAGTCGTGCTCTCAGAGTCCAACGTTCAGGCCCTTTTCACTGCAGCCAGCATTTTCCAGATTCCTGCTCTGCAGGATCAGTGTGCCCAATTTATGATCAGCCGTCTTGACCCTCAAAACTGTATAGGGGTCTTCATGTTCGCAGATGCATATGGACATCAGGAGTTGAGGGAACGGTCACAGGATTACATCAGGAAGAAGGTCAGTTAAACATTTTAGGATAATTTAAATGCTTTATTCTACTAAAACTCTCCTTTTCAGTCAGTGTTTTCATATGCAGGCTTAAACTTTTGCTTCTTTTGTGGTAGTTTCTGTGTGTTTCACTGGAGCAAGAATTTCTCCAGATGACCAAGGAGCAGCTGGTCAGCATTTTAAACAGTGATGACCTAAACGTGGAGAAGGAAGAACATGTCTACGAGAGCATCGTCCGCTGGCTTGAGCACGATCGACCTGGCCGCGAAGCCAATCTTGCAGAGGTTTTTTCTCGGTGCATTCGTCTGCCCTTGCTGGATGAGGCTTTTCTCAGTCGGATACCGGCCCCCTTTGCCGGCGCCCTGTCACTGTCCGAAGACCCAGTCGAGGCGAAAGCTCGTCTCAGCGGCACAAATGGTTGTTCACAGCGTCTGGGCATGACTGCGTCCGAGATGGTGATCTGCTTCGACGCAGCTCATAAACACTCAGGTAAGAAGCAGACGGTGCCTTGCCTGGACACAGCCGCTGGGAGGGTGTTCAAGCTCTGCAAGCCACCTAACGACCTCAGAGAGGTTGGCATCTTGGTGTCACCAGAGAACGACATCTACATTGCCGGCGGCTATCGTCCAAGCAACAGTGAGGTTTGCATTGACCATCGAGCAGAGAGTGACTTCTGGCAATATGAGCATGCAGGAAACCGATGGCTTCCACGAGCGCCTCTGCTGAGGGCGAGGATAGGATGCAGACTGGTGCACTGTTGTGGGAAACTTTATGCCCTGGGAGGCAGAGTTTATGAAGGGGATGGACGAAACGCCTTGAAATCCGTAGAGTGCTATGATGCCAGAGACAACTGTTGGACGGCTGTCAGTCCTATGCCAGTTGCCATGGAGTTTCACAGTGCTGTAGAATATAAAGACCGGATCTATGTCCTCCAAGGTGAGTTTATAATGAAGAAATGTTCTAAAATGGTCATGCTCATCGCTTTAAAAAAACATTTCTCTTTTACAGGTGAATATTTCTTCTGCTATGATCCCCGTAAAGACTATTGGAGTCATCTAGCTCCAATGAGCGTCCCTCGGAGTCAGGGTCTGGCTAGCTTGTATAAGAACTGCATCTACTACATCGCTGGAATCTGCAGGAACCACCAACGCACCTTTACAGTGGAGCTCTATGACATAGAGAGTAACACATGGAGCCGAAAGAGAGAGCTGCCCTTTGACCAAGCTACAAGCCCATATATAAAGGCCATGTTGCTGCAGGGAAAGCTGCACCTGTTTGTTCGTGCCACGCAGGTCATGGTAGAGGAGCACGTGTTTCGCACCAGCCGCAAGAACTCCCTTTACCAGTACGATGACGAGGCAGACGCATGGACCAAAGTCTATGAGACCCCCGATCGTCTTTGGGATTTGGGTCGCCATTTTGAGTGTGTGGTGGCCAAACTTTACCCACAGTGTCTACAGAAAGTGCTTTGAGTTAAACCCTGTTTTATCAGGGGGGGTGGGGGTGCTGTTGGTCCTGCCTGCCTTGTGCCTGGTGTTATCTTGGCTTTTACACCAGCTGGACCATTTTTCTTTTCTGTTGAGTCTTAATTGGTTAAACTTTAGTTCAAGATGATCAAAAGTGGGGGTGCTTTTAAAGATTGCAGTATTTGCTTTTGTTCCTTTTATAGACGGCACCAACTACACACTGAAGCATGCTTAACAAAACCCTGCAACAAATCATAAGTGCAATTATCCTTTTTTCGCTTGCTGTTGAGCCATGTTTTTCTTTTGTTGTTTGAACTGTATAAAAGGTGATTTTATTTTCTCTTGAAGTTTGGCATGCTATTGAGGGTGTCCGTAAGATAAAATGCCTTCTAGATATAAGGATGCTATGTGTCACCATAAAGTAAAAATCTCTCTCTCTCTATATATATATAAATAGCTATATAAACTTTTCATACGGGTAAGGTGAGTACTATAGCTCAGTAGTTTGCTAACATTAAGTTTTTCCTTTACTTTTAATTTTTATTCTCTGTCCAGGCATCTCTTCTGCTCATTAGTTTTATTGTAATATGTGCTTGTGATTTACATTCTTGTTGTGTTTAAACCCGAAAGTGTGCCTGATAGTTTTAGGCATGGGCCGGTATCATAACCTCGAGTCGGTATTGTCTTCAAACTTTAAGCAAATTGTTTCAGACCCGCCTTTTTAAAATGAACTGTTATTGCTGCTGCAATTCAAGTCGCCATTACAGTAATAGCGATATCTAGACCACGTTAACCAGATTTGACATACAATTACACACAAATATATACTGCCATCTGTAATATCAGTTAACAAGATATTTTGGCACAGAATATCAGACCTCTATATAGTTATATCAGTATACCAAATGTCTGTTAGCAGGTTAATTATTCAGGTTGAGTTTTGGCGGAACCTTCATTGAGCTGGTGTATATACCAATGACTAATGGCTTTAAATGAGCCTTATAAAACAGTACACACCAGCTCATGTTGCAGCTTCCAGTGGTCTTTTCGAATCTTTGTTTTAGTCCGAAGCATCGACAGGTGTCGTTCAATGCACATAATGCAAAGTACAGTTTTCAGATGGATTCATTTGGTTAGCAATAGGAAAATTAGCAATGTTTTAGCCAGTTGAAATGCGGTCCACAGCTTCAGCTAGGGGAAGAGTGGTGCCGCTGCATTGCTCTTTGCTACATGCAGCTGTATAAAGCAGCCACTTTCTCACGCTAAAGGACTTGAGCCGGTAGGCAAGGCATAATAAACAATGGATCCTATAAGCCGTTTAAAGCCTTGGTATACCAGTGACCGGCCCATGCCTAGAACGTTTCACCCCCCTTCACAAGCATCAGCAGATAAAAACAACCTTTGCAACAAGAAATGGCTTCTTTTTTTTGGGATACCAATTGAATGCAGCTCACACTTCCCACTTCTTTGAGTTGGCATCCGTTGTGTGTCTTATGCAAAGATATTTTAAGTAAAGTCTTAGAGTATTTCACTCTCCACATTGGAGATATAAGGACGGAGTCAAATTTTGTGCTAACACTAAGTGGCAAGTTCGTACCAACTAACAGATTTACCTCAGATTTATTTGAACCTGGAGAAAAGGGATCTTTTCAGGCTTTTTGTTTTTCTACGGAGCAGCTGTGTGAAAAGTTCAATTTGGCATTCGGATGTTAGATTGGCTTTGGCCTCATGTTATTATAATCTTATAGAACGTTGAAAAAAAAAAATGCCATAAAAAGCTTTTGAGGTCTCGTCATAGTCGTTGTGGACATTGAAACTAATTTTGTGGTAGCAATAAATCAAGGAACTGTGATTAGGCTTTATTATCTTGTATTACCTTTAGTGCATTAATGTTTTTGTTTGCTTGTCTCGACTTGTGGGGAAAAATGGTAGTTATAGTACCAGTAACTGTTTGGCTGTCGCATGGATGCAGAATTGAACCGATGTGTAATTTGGTGCACATTATGTGTGATGCCAATGTGCCTGTGGCTAAAAGAAAAGGGGAGCATCAGAATCAAAACCCACATCTCCAAAATGAAGAATATTCGAAATGCTAGCCCAGCATTGCACTGAATTACTATTCCCTTCGGTTGTCCTTAACTGCAAACTTTACGAAGTACCCTCTCAAACAAGACCCCACGCAAGGGTCTGGAGTTTGTGCCGTTTCATTTAAAGGCCATGAATCCGTCTTTTCACGCCATCGCTCGGCCACAAACTGTTGGTGCTGCTTTCTTTTGACAATCTCGTGTAAAAAGGAAACCACAATCGACTGGTCCTCCCTGTCAAAGTATGATTTCCAGTGCTCGGCGTTTCTCATGCAGGTTTTGTTTGTTTTTTTCTTTTTTTGTCATCTTTGCACTGCACGTCTTTGGCATAACCACAGAGAGTGCCCCTCTATTTTATAAAAGGTTCAGCAAATGTAAAGATATATAGCAATCAATAAGGTTTACATGGGAATAAATCTTTAATGAGTCACATTCAGCAAGGACTTGAGGATATATTTAACTTCTCTGAGAGAAGACCCACTCTGAAAGACTTAAAGCTGATTTTAATCACCCGGCTTGAACAATAACCTCCTTTAGATACTCCTCACACTCCTGTGGTCTGAGCATCACCAACACAGCTCCTTAACGGCCATTTGAGAACCAGGAACGGAGAACTCTCAGGATTTCTACTGATAACACAGTACTGTATTTAATTTTGTTTTTGTGATGTGTAATATACTGTACTATAGGTTTGCTGTACTTGCACAGTTTTCTAAACTTATATTCAATTTCTTTTATAACTTGAAAAAAAATAGATGTGATTTTCTTTTTTTCTTGTCTCAAGTGGCTGTTTTTTTCCCCCTTGTGATTATATAATTTGTTATTGTAGTGTAATCCTCTAATGAGAAAAAAAAGTTTTCTGCACGAGTTTAAGTTAGATTTATGTTGTTTCCCCCCCCCCCCCCTTGTAGTGCATTAGTTTTGTAACATCTCACTATGTGTAATGATCATTTTAAACACCAGTCATGCCACACAACAAGCTAACACAAACTGCTTCCTGTGTTGTTTTCTGTCATAAACAGCTTATATCAGCTAAATATTTTGTTCATTGGTGCTATTCCATTGTTTCATGTTCTTTTTGTCTTTAAAAGGCTTTTCTCGGTTTCAGGTGGTTGAGCTCAACTGTGAACTTCACATTGCACATAATTGAAAATAAAAAAAACAAAAAAAAACGATTGGAGTTTACTTTTTCTTTCTTTTATTTTTTTTAGTTGCATGTGAGAAAGGACATATTTAAAAGGGACTGTGTGCCATAGATCTATGACAAACGGATAATGGCAGGAGGAGATCTGGAAAGAAAAAACGATGCAACATGTGACCCAGGCGTCCATTGATCAAGGCTGCTGTTCAAACCTCGCTGCTTCTTTCTTCCTGGCTCTCAGTCTCCAAACGCGCTGGCTGTAAGATCAGGTAAGATATTTGCTGTGGGAGCCGATCCACGCGTCGTTTTCAGGGTTTCTATTTTTAACCCACGCCGGGACACGAGCCCCACGCCGCGTGTTTCTGAAGAAGCTACAAAGCTGTTGAAAGTTGAGCGATCGGCTCACAGCTGCTAGTCTATCTGGGAATAAAACACACTCTCCCATAGAAGTAGCTTTAAACTTAGTAGTAGTTTAGTATTTGGCGTAAAGATGACGTAATAACCGACGTTTATGTTTGGCTGCGAACAAAAGGAGGGAATGGAGACGTTTTCAGCTTTTACATCGGCGCTGATAATAGTTCATGCGGCGCGTCGACCCTATTGTGTTATGTTACTTTTGATGAGAAAATCAAAGTAGGACCCTATATAAAAAGTAAGTTTCTACAGTGATCCCATCCTAAGTAAAAACCAAGCGCAGTGGTTAGGCTTCATAATTCACCAAATTAGTAAATAGAGTCTACCCTTGTTTAATTAAATTGGAAAGAAATGCAGCTGTTTGTAAATGCCCGGTAAGTACGGAAGAGGATTAGGGCCACTTGGGAAAAAAAATAAAATAAAGTTGACTGATTTTTTTTACATTTTATTTCAGTTTAATATGGGGAAAAACTCAGAATGTTGACTTTATTCTCAGAATTCTGACTCAGAATGTTGACTTTAATTTCAGAATTCAGTAATTTTTTCTCAGAATTCTGACTTCAATTTCAGAATTTTGGATCTTAATGTAGATGGGTTTAATATGGGGAAAAAGTCAAAATTTTGACTTTTTTCTCAGAATTCTGACTTTAATCTAAGAATTCTGACTTTATTCTCAGAATTCTGACTTCAATCTCAGAGTTTTGTATCTTAATGTAGATGGGCACCATGAAGGAAGAAATGTGGGAGCACTCAGCTTCACTTACAAAGATGTGAGTGGTTTGGGAGGGCCATTAACACATTGGTGGAATATGAAAGAATTAGGCGACTTTTTACGTGCCCAAAGGGTCCCTGGTGATGCTACTTCATTAAGGAGGAGCAGAAGGTCATTAAAACAAGAGAGCTAGTCTCTAAAACAGACATGGCTACAGCTTAACATCTTTGTTTGCTGTCAGAATTCTGACTTTTTTTCTCACATATTAAAATAAACTTTTAAAATCAAAATTTTTCTTTTTTCAGTGGCCCTAATCCTCTTCCGTATATTAGGAAACATATATTTGATTGATTTTTATTTGTCAAACAAAAAGGCCTTTTACAAGATAAAGGTAAAAGGCACAACTCAAAACATTAAAAAAAGAAGGATCATATTTATAACTCCAGTTACATGGGCAGATTAAATTTTAAATGTACATACTGCATTTTTTTATGTTACAGAATATTGTGCTGAAGCTCAGCCTATAAATGGTAAGATGTCTTTCTTTCAACTTTACCAATCAGTTACATCACAGGGGCTAACAGGTTAAGTTCTAAAACCAAATATCCCCAGCATTGGAAATCTGACAGAGCATATTTTAATTTATCATCTCAAATAGAACTGGGAAGGATAATACATGGACTTTTACTCAAACAGATGGGTTGAGTGTCCGTAGCTCCAACCAGAGAAGCAGTCAAAATATCCATAGTAACTGGAGGAGCTGCAGAGATCCACAGCTCATGTGGGAGGACCTTTGAACAAGATAACTATAGGCCACGCCTTCAACAGCCTCTGGAATGGCAAGAGGAAATCAATGTCCTCCTCAAAGCCTGCTAGAAGCCGCGTTGGTGCTAGGTCATATCTAAAATGCATCTTTTCTATTGAAAATCAGCAACGTTGGTGCTTACTTGCAAAATTTATTATTTCGATAAACATGTTATTTTCCATTAAAATTCTCAAAATGACCAAACATTTGGTTGTTTAGGTCCACAACATCCCAGTGTCCTATTATGGGGAAATTTCTTGACCTGTTTAGCTCTTGATAACAAATGTTCTTTCTTTGTCAACTAATTGACTTTTTCCACTCTGCACAGAACGATGCCGGCCGCACTTGCAGATGTTTTGAGTCCCAAACCTCTGGATGGGGGTTGGGGCTGGATGGTGGTGATTGGTGCCCATATCTCTATTGGATTTGCATATTCGACTCCCAAAGCCTTGTCCATTTTCTTCAAGGATATCCAAGAAGACCTGGGTGCCAGTTACAGTGAAATAGCATGGATTTCCTCCATCATGCTGGCTGTGATGTATGCAGGCGGTGAGTTCTTACTATATTTACTTGTTAAATAGTAAAATAATCAGCTATCAGGATCTTCTCCTGTCATTCAACAAGTTGAATGAACCTAATAACATAACCTGTGTTATATTTATTACTTTGTCTATGTAGGTTTATTTTCACTGAGGTGAGATAGGGCTATAGGTTTTGAAGTTGACAGTTTAGCAAAGTTATATTAAGCATACAACTATAATGCTGCTGATTGATGATGTTTGATTGGTAAGTATGCAGAGGTTTATGCAAAATATATATTTTTAAGAGATATGATGTAAACTATGATGTCTAAAAAATGTTATGTTTATCAGTAAAGCAACATTATCTTGTACAAACAACGGTCAATATAATGGTGCAAAAGTACGCTTATTATCAGGTTACATTCACTTATAGAGCCGCATCGTCTGCAAACTATAAATGCAATTAACATAAGCAAGATGCTTCACAGGTTCTGTAGAAACACTTTTAATTGAGTTTCTTTTTAAAAAGCAAAATAGTTTTATTTGGTTAAAGTCAATATTTTGTGGACTAACCAGGTTTTTCTTTATTACCTGTAAGTGATACTGTAGCATTTATTAAAACGGATACAACAATCAGTCTAATAACCATAAAAAATCCAATAATCCCATAATATATCAAACCAGTCTTAAGGGTCAATTATTTGCCTTTTGTTTAGGATTAGGCTAGTTTTTAAAAATTAAGAGTTCATTCCTATACTTTCTTAGGAATGTCATTTTTAAAGGAGCAACAGAAAATGTATACCTAAACTGAAAGGTAAACAGAAAACCGCTTGAGTCTGTTGACCAATAATCAGGAACAATGTTTACTATGAAAACATATATGTCTACTTACTACTGATTCATTGAAAGTCAATAAATTTAAATCTAAATTCAAACTGCAGACAATTTTTCAGTGTTTTGGTTGGTATTATTAAAACAATTCTCCAGTTACTCTAATGAAATATAATTGCTAACCAGAAAAACAACAAGTTATTACACTCGTGGACACAAGTTGTCGGTTCCCCTCGTTCAATGAAAGAAAAACCTAAAATATTCACAGAAATAACTTGAATTTGATAAAATTAATTCTAAATAAAAAAAAAAATTAAAATGAACAAATGAAAGTAGACATTGCTTTTCAAACAGGATTCAACAAAGGGATTTTAAAACTGAATTTTCTTGAAACAGGCCTGGAGAAAAAACTGAATAAAATCCCTTTATTGTCCAAAAATGGGGAAATTCTAGAGTAACAGACCAAAGGGACATGTTAAGTCAATGTGTGTCCACTAATTAGAATATGTCTATAATCTTGTAATCAGTCAGGGGGCCATTCAGGGAGAAAAGGAATGTACATCCAATACACAGTTGACTTCTGATTCTATTTATAAAGTCAACGGTATGGATGTTCTGATGTGGTTTTATGACCAAAACATTTAAAAATACCCTGAAATTTTACTGCAAATCCTTTTTTTATGCACAGTCTTATCCGTGCAAAGAGAGCAACCGCTGTTTGGTTGTACAGTCAACTCAGTCCAACAGACGCATAATGGATAAATTGGCTTCACATGAGTGGCTGCACTCACTGACACGGTTTTAGGCAGCCTAATAGGAGTGTTGCCACTGTGCATTAGTCACCTGACCCAAATTTAAAGCTCATTAGGAATAAGCTTTTTTTTCTCATTTATCTAAGTCAACATCTATAATCATGGATTTGATAATAGGTTTGCAGCTTCGTAAACATTAATCCGTTGCATGAATGCATCATGTGTGAAGGCAACAGGAGCAATTCTGCTATTGATGGTTTCTGGTTATTCATAGACATAATCATAGCTTATGTCTGAAATTTAGTCGAGAATAACCATGCTATCACTACATCTTCTGTCAGATATTTATTAGGAATTTTTGGATTTAAAAAAAACTTTTTATAGCTGATACTGGGATTTTCTTAGTTTTTTCAAATAATGTTCTATAGACTTTATTGTCCAAATGGGAAATCGTTTACCACTGAGCTCCCACCACCAGCAGGAAGTGAAAATACAGTGAAAGAAATCTGAAAAATTGTCAGATCTTTACCTTCCTGGCTAATATTTTGGGATGTTGTTTTAATATTTCCAAATAATCTCTTCCCCATCAGGATGTGATCCATTCAATAAATTAATCACCTGTCTACAGCAAAACACTCATATTCAGTGATTACTGATGCAATGGTTCATTGTTGTGGTCTACAATTAGCTATTAAAGTATGATTTTAAATAATACATTAATTTAAATGCCCTCCAGCAATATATAAATAAACACACACGCGCACACACACACACACACACATATATGTATATATATATATATATATATATATATATATATATATATATATATATATATATATATATATATATATATATATATATATATATATATATATATATATATATGACACTAACAATGTGTGTGTACATGCATTGCATTGTTAGTGTCAATGTTGTCAGTGTTGTCGACTTTAAGAATAAGCATCATTATTAGCAGAAAACATCATGGTTGATTCT